AAAGAAAGAAAGAAAAAGAAAGAAAGAAAGAAAAAGAAAGAAAGAAAGAAAGAAAGAAAGAAAGAAAGAGAGAGAGAGGTAAATATATCTTTATTACAACCTAGAATGTCCAGGTTCAATTTAGAATTCCTGGTCGCTTAAAAGCATGTCCAACCTGCAACCCACTTTTTTTGGCCCTTTTTTTCAAATATAATGATAAAATATTTTTAAAAGAAGTTTGCTACATATATATTAAACATCTTATACATCTTATATGTGACTCAAGACAATTCCTCTTCACTAAAAAGAAAAGCAAACAGTAAAAGTGAGCCGCGGTTGGACGCACACAGAACAAAGCTGCTCATCTCACCTCTGGCTCTGTGCTTTCACATGAGGAAGGATTCGGCATCTCATGTTATGGCCATGTAATGCTTTATGAAGGTCCCAACAGGATAAAGATTTCAGAAGCAAAGACTGATGGGAGTTTATGCACAAAAGACCCCTTCACGAGATGTGGGTGAGTAGGCAGCAGTGAAGCCTTCACCGTCCGCAAACCCAAAGGACAGGGAGGAAGTAGCTGCCAAAATGTGTCATGGAGAGGAAGTCACTGAAATGGGCAGAGGCTTTCGGCTGAGACCTTCCCCACCTCAGATCACCTCACAGCCGCAGCACCCAGAAAGTAACTGCTCCGAGCTCACTTTCCTTCCCCTGAAGTGTCCTGCTGGGGCTCCATTGTCCACATCCAAGGAAAATAAGGGAGCCCACTGGTGTTAGCGACCTCTCCACAGGGTGCAGGACAGCGACACAGGGCAAGTGGAAAAAGGCTCTGGAAGACGACCTGTGCAAAGTTCAACTATTTTCAAATTGCCAGGCATGGTGGCGCACGTCTGTAACACGACACAATGGTGTAGCACGTCCCGGGCTATACAAGAGAGCACATACAAACATAGGAAAGGCAGCAGTGATGAGATAGAGCGTTTATTTCTAAACTAGAAGCGCTGTACAAGCCCAGATCACTACTGTGTCCCTTGGTTCCAGAGCCCTAGAACAGGACCTGAGAGATCGCTCCTGAGAGAGGATAGGGTGTAAATGGCAAAAGCAGATAGAAAAGAGAAAAAAAAAATCTCAACTCACTCCTTGAAGAGTAAACTTCTGGATGTTAGGGGCAGGCAGATAGATTCTGTGATGAGCAAACATGTTTATAACTAGAAAGTGATAGTACGGTTATCATTTTGAGGAAAAAGTGAGATGACCAGTTGTTTGCCTGCTTAGCTTTCTTCTTCTAAATCACTTCTTTCTCTAATTTCTTCTCTGCTCCCACTGATGCAGATGTGTCTGACACAGGTAACGTCCTGCCACCCTTCCCGAGGTTTGCTTTCTCCTCACGGCCACCTGCCTGTCTGCCCCTGAGCACCCTCTTCCAGGTTGGGCGGGATGAGGGAGACAGCGAGGGGCTCCAGAGGTCCCTGTGCTCCCTCTGGGGTGTCACACGAGCACACCCTTCTTCCCCAGCTGAATTCACTGTGGCCTGGCCCAGAAGAGGGGAAGCATTCCCAACACAGCTGGGACCCACACTCTGAAATGCCTGCTCTGGGCAGATCCACTCATGCATTTGATGTCAGAGATGGGGATAGCTCCCTGAAGGACAGCGCTTTGACCTTGAACTTGACTCTGTTCATATAACAGTTATAACATACACACGCATTGCATCCATACCTTTGTTTTGCAGGACTGCATTTTTTAAAACCTTTCCTGGCTTTTCCTCCCCATTTTCTTTTTCTTTTTTTTTTTTTTTGGTTTTGGTTTTTTTCCGGTACCGGGCATCGAACTCACGACCTTCCGCTTGCCAGGCAGACACTGTGCCGCTAAGCTAAATCCCCAGCCTCTCCTCCCCATTTTCACTTACATTCCTTTGACTAATGTATCCAGAGATAGGCTTGCTGGACATGCTTAGTACAGCCCTGGCTCCCTTGGTTGAGTTCTTACAAACTCATAATTGCACTGACAAACATAGGTAGGGGCTTTTACAGGTTAAGATTTCCCATCCTCACAGGACATCAGAGGTTTTAAGGTGAATTGAGGGTGAACATAACAGTAAACCCTAAACAAAAGGGCACAGAATAAGGACTGCAAGGCACTCGTGTTACTTGCGGGTGCCTGTTATTCACGTCCACATGCTTGCCTTTCTGCCATCCGATACGCACTCCTCCATGCCAACATATATTGCTCACCTGTCAGGCGCAAAGCATTGTATACACATTAATACAACACAGACAGCATCATTTTAGCCCCCAAGGCTGAGCTATTCCCCAAGATGTGTACTTTCTCTGGTTAAACATTCTTACCGTGCAATCGTGTCATCTGCAGATTTGGGGATTTTCAAGCGGGCTGCTATGGTGTTCTACACGGACTGTATCCAGCAGTGCAGCCGACCTCTCTACATGGTATGTGTGTTTGCTATGTGCCTTGGCTTTCTCCCAGAGAGTAGCAGAGCTGCAGGAGGGCCAGGCTTGGGGCAGTCACTCAGAGCTCCAAAAATCAAAAGGGACAGATGGCCAGAGTGGCTGGGATCCAGTTGGTAGAAGAAGAAACATGTTACTTCCTCTTTTTCATAAAGAAAAGCCTAGATGGTCCCAGTTTTGCAATGAAATATTTGGCAGTCTGTGAAGAAAAAGAAGGAAAAAATACATATCATTGCTATGGCAGAGAATCAAAACAGAGTGTCCATATAAAGACTCGTCCGAAGAAGAACCCTTTTGAACATGAAAGGGCGTTCTATTAATAGTATACCAGAACAGCAGGTATAAACCAGGACTGTCCCAAGCAAACTGGAACATGTTTTCATTCTAATCGCTTTATTAGTAACTTACGCTGTCAACATTATGTATTTCTGTGTTATTAAGAGAAAAAAATTTCTGAACTGTGATTATTTCTTAATGGTTAAAATATACTTTTAAACGTTCCCCACCCCCCTCTAGTTTCTAGCAAATTGTTTATCTCTACCTGAGCCTAGATAGGAGGGCTCCAGCCCAGCCCTGTCTCAGCTTGCTGCCCAGTGACTTCGGAAGACTACTCGCCCCCTCTGATCTCACTGCCCCAGCCTTTACATGGTGCTGTGCTCAGGTCCAGCGATACGCTTAGGCCTGGCACAAAAGAATCCACCAAGTACCTGCTCGTCTTTTCTAATCAGAAAGACCTTTACATATAGGAATGTGGTATCTTTTAGTGCTCCAGAGCTTAGGCCTACAGGCACTAAAATGCTCAGGGAACTGAGGCTGAACGATTTTGCTCAGGTGGGAATTAAAAAGCCTATCAGCCTCCGTGAGGATTTCCAGAATTACGTATGCCTCGGGTGTGAACTCCAAACATTTAATGTTTTGATGGTTTATTGTTATTGTTATTATATTAATTGATCCTTAGAGTAGTTTTAGGTTCAGCTGTTCAGCAAAATTGAGCAAACAATACAGAAATTTCCCATTCCCAGCAAATGGTACATGGATTGCAATCAGTGAAGCAGTACTGACACATCATTACTCAAAGCATCACTCTTGTATTATATATTTTATGTGTTTTGACAAATATATAGTGTCCTGTATTTACTGTTAAAATACTATACAGATCAGTTCACTGCCCTAAAGCTCCTCAGCATTCTACCTATTCATCTCTCCCTCCAGCCCAACCCCAGCCAAGCTCTAATTTTTTGTTTCCATACTTTGGTCTTTTCCAGAATGTCATGTAACTGGAATCATATTGTATGTCACCTTTCATATTGGCTTTTTTTACTTAGTAATGTGCATCTAAGGTCCTCTTTTCATGGCTTTGTAGCTCAAGTCAGCGCTGAAAAGTAGTCCACTTTCCAAAGGTACCACGGTTTATTTATCCATTCACCTACTGAAGGGCACCCTTGTTGCTTCCAAGTTTTGGTAATCATGAAGAAAGCTGCTATAACGATCATGTGCAGGCTTTTATGCAGACGTAGTTTTTCAACTCTTTTGAATAAATACCGAGGACAGCAATTGCTAGATCGCATGGTGAGCATGTGTTTTGTTTCCTGGGAAACTGCCGAACTCTCTTCCAAAGGACTGTACCACTTTGCATTCTCACGAACAATGAATGAAAGTTCCTATTGCTCCAGCGTTTCAGTGGTGTCGGTGTTTGGGTTGTAGACCATCCTAGTAGGTGATTAGTGTTTGTACTTTAAGTGAAGACATTTCCTCCAAATTAGATGGACCCCCTACAAAACAGAAAGTCATCATTTTTAAAAAGTTAATAAGCAGCTGTGCAAATTAAAGGGTAATTAAATAACACCTGAAAGCTTTAAGCAGTATGCAGAGGAGCAGAAACAGATTGTGGATAAATATCTACCAGAGAACTGCCCTTTTCAGATGGACCAATCCTCTGCATTTTCTCCCTTATTTAGTAACTTTAGTGTCCAGACCATGCTTTGCAGAGACCAAGAGCCTGGGAGGTGCAGGACCTCCTTGGAGCCAGAGTAATGAGTGCAAAACTGACTCCCACAGTTGGCCCTGACAGTTGCAGTGGAGGCAACCGCGGAACACAAACCAGAGAAGCAGTCACGTGGTGGCAGAACTCTTAACTACTAGGTAATTGGCGCACACCACCAGTCTCCCCGCCGAGAAGTGGGCTGTGCCACCCAGATCCACTAAACCTAAGGGAAAACAGCCAAGTCTGCTTTGCTGGCCACTTTTGTTTACAAGGACCCAGTTGTGTCCGTGTGCAGTCAGAGGCCTCGCTGTTCCATCCTTGCAGAGGACTTGTGTCAGAGCGCAGCGGGGCGCTCTTCTAACCAGAGAACCTGTCTTTCAACAAGCAATCACTTTCCTCTGGTTGATGCTTTTGCTACTGTAGGTTTAAAAGAAAAGTGGTGTGTACAGCCCCTTATTTGGTGTCTTCTCTCCTTTTTTCTAGGACAGAATGGTGCTGCTGATTGTGGGGAACCTGGTAAACTGGTCCTTGTAAGTAGCTTAGGAAAATATGTTTTTGTTTTTATTATCGTCTGCAATGCTGCGGCTTGGCGTTCTGTGACTGTCATTTTCACAAAGACATCTGAGATGAAGGAAAGACTAAGTCTGTGCTCATTCTAGAGACTTAATACAAAGGCCTTTTTCCTCCCACACTGTCTGCATGAGAGCAGGGTTCTGGGCAAGGCAGAGGACAGCTGAGCCTCTGGGATCCGGCTTTGGTTAACTGGGATGTGACTTGTCTTGGACCTAAGCAATAAGCGGCAGCCACAAAATGTTTTCAAGGAAAATAAAACCGAAGAGAAGACGAAGTCTAAGAACACAGTGGCCTTTGGGCATTCAGGGGGTGGGGAAGGTTGATTTTCACTTTGCATGAGCTGGGTACTGAGATTTTTAAAAATGAACTATTTATAAAAATATGACCACTCTTGGCCATTCAGGATGCTGTGTTTGAGAGACTGCAGTATATACCATATGACTTTCTAAGGATCTGAAATCCATAAACTGAGAGAAACTGTGTGTGTTCCACCCGAACAGGAGTCTTTGCTGATATTTATTGAGCAGCTGAGTCCCTCCACCCACCCCCAGTTTATGGGTGTGCTGCTTTACATGCAGAAGAGAGAGAGAGGAAGTTTTAATTGCTCTGTCTGAACTTAGGAGCTGGGCTGGGAGTGCATTAATGATTTCTTCATGCTTTGCACTGCATTTTTCCAAGTGAAGACAGACTGGGAAACGGTGCCCTGCCGTTGACACATGCAGAAGTTGGTGCAGTTTCCCCTCTGCTGCTCTGTTTATCATGAAAGTCCCGAGGGCTGGCTGTGCTGTAGCATCATCGCCATTTGGGGTTGTCACGTTGATGGGATGATCCGTCATGAAGGAGCGGGGAGCCTCCTTGTGGAGCCCCAGATTCGCCCTGGGAGCTAGGTGCCACATCTTTGGCCCTCGTATGCCACGGTCCAGTGGCTGAGGCCCGCTGGAATCACTGCCTCGTGGCCCAAACTTGTGTTTTTGCTGGAGTGACAGTTCTTCGTTTTTGTTGTAATTTTTTTACATTACACCCCACAACAACACAAACAGTTGCAGAAAGACCTGGCAGTACCTTTCCTCCAGACAGCTTCACCTTGATGTTCGGGGGTGTGTGCTAAGTTAATCTGCACATTCTGTTCACCACGTTGCCTGTACTATCTGTCTGTATGTAATGTATAGCAAAAGAGTAGCAATCCAGTGTTGCTAGCGCTTGACTTTGAGTCGGTACAGTACCTGTACTTGCATGGGCACTGCTCTGCCTGTTGCCCTGTACGGAAGGCTCAGGTTTTCCCTTGTTCTTTGAAAGGGGTTTATGTATAAATATATTTTATGCCTTTTTATTACAAGTCTTATACTCAATGACTTTTATCATGGCATTTTGTTCTACTTATACTGTAAATTATGCATGACAGAGTTCACTTAAGGAAAATTACTTGGTACAATAATTATTGTAATTAGATGCAGCATTTACTAAATTTTTATATTTTTCCAAAGAAAGACTATTTTTTTTTTCTGCAAAGAAAGCAATAGGAGGCTCTCAGGTACCAATAGGAGCTTCTCCTAAAGGGCTGATCCACTGAATGAGCTCCTTTGTTCAACAGACAAACATCTATGGTGAATAGATTAGATGATAGATGATAAATATGGGAGATAGGTAGATAGATGATAGATCAATAGATAGATAGGAATGATAGATGATAGATATGATAGATATGGATGATAGATATGATAGATGATAGATATGATAGATAGATGATAGATTGTAGATATGATAGATATGATAGATGATATGATAGGTAGATAGACGGATGATAGATGATAGACAGATAGATATGATAGATGATAGAAAGGCAGATGATATGATAGACAGATGATAGATAATGATAGATGATAGATGTAGATGATAGATAGATAGACAGATAGATAGACAGATAGATGGTAGATAGATAGATGATAGTCAGATCCAATAGGTGCAAAAGGCAACACAGTTTTAAGCCATTTCCGAGAACTTTCCGTAAAGTCTCCACAGCAGTCATTCCTTTCTGCAGAATCTCTTTCTTGCTAAGTATGTTTTTGTAAGAGAGGGAAAAGAAGAGCGAGGAGAGACAGAGAGGAGAGAGGGAGAGACCTTCCCATCTCTGCCTTTCCCCCCGGGTCTCCTGTTTCTACTCTGCCATCTCATTTTCCTTCCTCTTTGTCCCTTCATTGTCTGATGGCCTTTTCCCCTCACATGGACTCTAAGACAAGAGATGTATTTTTTGCTGCTGAAATCAGTTTATGCAATTTATTCTCACTCTGACCGTGGGAGATATTTTACTGATCTCCCAAAGCATAAGTAAGTTTAGCTGCTCTTACTCTTGGCTCCTAGCTGCTATGGTCGTCTGGGTCGGAGACCTTTGACAGAAAGGTGATTTCCTGCTCCTAGACCACATTATCCACTTTGCAGTCCAGTTATTTAAATACAGGATGATCAGCAGTTACATTTTCTATTAATTTTATAAAATAATATAACAGGAACTATAAAAAAGACAATTTTATCAAGTTTTTTCAGTACAAGAGTCAACTGGTTAAAATGACACGTGCCCAAGCAATGCTTGGGATAGTCAGTGTGTAAACAAAAATGTTGCCCAAGCAATGCTCAGGGAAATAAGACAGACAAAGGAATGAAGAAAGAGGCCTGCCTTCACATCTGAGCCATGGAGACTTAAATCTCACTCAGGGGTCAGAGCTTTTGGAAGAAATTGCCCATAATATCACACAGGGTTTACCCTAGGGTAAGGTCCGTACCATTAAAGGATTCCCATTCTATTTGGGACAAGTCAAGATGACATGAGCAGTGGTCTCCTACAATGCCTTTGGGGCCACCCTTTAGGGAGCAATACAGCTCCGGTGACGCTGTGAAACAGGGCACTTTATGGACGGCTCATGAGCGTGTCCCTAGGGCTCAGAACCACCTGGCTTGTCTCTCCCTCCCACATAATCAAAACCAAAGCCACAGTCCACTCACAGGGCAAGGTGAATGGCTGTCTGCTCTCAGAGAGCTGGTGCGATCCGGGGCTTCCAAAGGTGTATGAGGTGTGACGACAGCCTGATGCTGGATTACCCGGTAGAGACAATCACAGAAATACGTATGGATGTGCTTTTATTAAAAACAATTTCAAGTAAAAAGCTAAGGCAGAGTTATGCAATGTTTTGTTATAAATGAATAGAAATTCAAAACAAAATTAAAGCTAAACCTCAACCAAAATAAACTTCGGTGTTAATTTAAGAATGGACAGCCAGCAAAGCTTTTTTTTAGTATGTGTCAAACCAATTATTGGAGTTAATTCTGCTTCTGGTAATCTATTGTAAGAAACTAATCTTAAGTGGAAAAAAATATGTCGACGGTATTCATTTTTTTGTGACAGTGTTGTTTATAATCATGAAAGACCCTAAGAGTGCTGGGAAAACCCTGGGTTGCAATCAGAGAGAGATGATTCCTTATAGTACATCGTTCCATGGGCACATTGCATCACCATTAGAAATTCATGATTTGAAGATGTAGTGCAGTAGAAGTTAACTGTAGAGTCAGGTACCAGACAATGACATTTCAGCCGGCGGAGGATCGCGCCTTCAACACCAGGCCTGTCAGATGCTGTTGCCTCAGACAGTGGTCGTCTTAGTATACTTCGACAGTCACACACAATCGTCTAATGATGCATTTCTTACAGCATAACCCACTCTTAAGTAACACATGAATGTTTGTTAAAGTAGTTTTTAAATAAACCCCTCTTCCCAAAAACATAGAGGTCAAGTAGTGAAAAAAAGCAGACAACATAGGAGCTGGGGATGTAGCTCAGCGGCACAGCACCTGCCTGGCAAGCGTGAGGTCCTGAGTTCGATTCCCGGTACCAAAAAAAAAAAAAAAAAAACAGACAACGTTACAATGTTACAGCTCCATCTTCTCTACCGCCAATATCTCTCCCCTGTGTCCTCAGCGCCCTCTTTGGGTTGATCTACCGGCCCAGGGACTTTGCGTCCTACATGCTGGGCATCTTCATCTGCAACTTGCTGCTGTATCTGGCCTTCTACATCATCATGAAGGTAAGCGGGGCGTGAGAGCTGCAGTACCCCAGTCCCCAGCAGGGCAGTGGGGGTGGTGCCAACCCCCCACCCCTGTGTCTCCCCACAGCTCCGCAGCTCTGAGAAGGTCCTCCTCGTGCCCCTCTTCTGCATCGTGGCCACTGCAGTGGTGTGGGCCGCTGCCCTGTATTTTTTCTTCCAGAACCTCAGCAGCTGGGAGGTAAGGGCACCGTTCTCTTCCATGCAGTTCCCTCTCCATTTTGCCTCTTTGACCTTTCTACCTCCCTCTCCTGCTGTGCATGTTGCTTTTTATCTTTTTTCCCCCAGGCTTTAATTATGAAAACTTTTGCCAAAAAGGGTTGATTGTAGCATCCACACATGAATGCCGAAAATTAGCATGTGGTCAACGCTTCATAAATTTGTAAGCGCTACACACACTGCAAATTCGATCTTCGTTATGCAGTGCATTATGATTCTGTTCCAAGTAGGTGGATAACATGTGCAAAACCTTGATGAGCAGATCTTTTTCATCTTTCTAATCACAGTTTTTCCTCTTAGTGGGGACTGAACTCAGGGCTTTTGCACAGAGCCACACCTGCATCTTTTTTTTTTTCCTCTTTTTGAGACAGGATCTCACTAAGTTGCTAAGTTGCCCAGGCAGAAGTGAAATATGTAATCCTCCTGCCTCAGCCACCTAACTGCTGGGATTACAGTCAAGGGCCACCACTGTTTGCTTTTGTCCCCGTAGGTTTGTTTATTCAGGACCTTTGAAATAAACAAGATCACACAACGTGTGTCCTTTGCATCCGCTTCTTTAATTCAGTAAAATGTTCTTTGTGTTCATCCATGGAGCCAGCTGTGTTAGCGCTCCATGTCTCCTGGCTCCTAAAATATACTACACGATGTGGAGATAGAGATATTGTATCTCCCATTCACATGTTGATTAACATTTGGGTAGTTTTCACTTTTTATTCGTATGAGTGACTCTGCTGTATACATTTGCAGACGAGCTCTTGTGTGGAGGTGTGTCTTCTTGGAGGCTGACTTTTTGAGCCACTGAGTAGCATTTTCATAGCTTCCTGCATGGGACACACTGAAGCAGTAGGCAAGTGAAAATCTTGTCTACGTCCTGCCTTCCCTTCCTCCAGGGAACCCCAGCTGAATCCAGGGAGAAGAACCGCGAGTGCATCCTGCTGGATTTCTTTGACGACCATGACATCTGGCACTTCCTCTCTGCTACCGCCCTGTTTTTCTCATTCTTGGTGAGTTTATCGTTTCTTTTTGTGGCTTTCTTCTTACTTTGCTTCTCATTTTTGCTCTTCTACTCATTTTCATATCCTTTTTATATTCCTATTTTCCCACTCCAGTTCTTTATTATAATTCAATATACAGATCATTTTATTTCTTTTTTTATATTGTATCCTTCAGTGGGATCTTTATTTTCACTTCCCTTTTGTCTTTTAATAGCTTCAGACACAGAGTGACAAAGCTGTTTTCCTAAATTGCACAGCACATTTGGACCGAACTGGTTATTAGACTCATACGCCCAGAATTTCCCCCAGGAGCCACAGCTGGTGCTCACATTCCTCTAACGTTGGACTGTTCCCTTCCTCCCCCTCCTGCAGTCTCACTGCAAGTTTTATGAGTATTTTATGGATCCCCAGGGGCGCTCAGTGCAGCCTCCTGGCTCCATTGCCTTCTAACAAGTACCTTATGTTCAGTTCTCTCCCATAGTCCCGCCATGTTTTGCCCAAACCCTTTCCCAGAAGCCATGCTTATTCACGTCAACCTAGGGTGATGGTTCCCAGCACCCTTTAATCATACTTTTAACGTTTCTAAATTAGAAGTTGTTGGTTTCTGTACACTGCTAGACTCCTGGGCTCCTAGCACTGTCCTCTGGAGAGCTCGGGCCATACCGCCTCACAGTGGAGCGGGGCTGCCCCCTGGTGGCCAGTTTGGAAGGTTCCTCCAATCTGTAAACATTCCTTGGGGCTTCTCTTTTGGACTGCCACCCTCCTGAGGGAGACAGAGACAACACAAGTGGAGCTTAGGGATCCACGTGGGAAAGCAGTGGCCTGGAGAACTAGAAATGAAGGCGAAAGGTCCCTGTCTAATATAGAAAAACTCAATGCAGTCAGACTTCATTTCCTTTAGGTCTTGACCTAAACATCACCTTGTAAGCAATGACTTCTCAGGCCATTCTGTCCAACTTCATTTTTTTTAAAATCATATTTCCTATATTCCTTCCTCAGTTTAGTTTTTATCCTTAGTACATATTACAGCCTGATAGTCAACATTTTACTCGACTTCTTTGCTTCATGTCTAAACCTTTCACTTGAATGTACACTTCAAGAGGGACAGATGCTCGCCTGTCACCCCAGCCGTAGCCGCAGCACCCAGAATAGCACATTACGAACTTTCATGAGCATTTAAATTAGTTGATAAATGAACTGTATCATTAAGACTGCTTGTCCATGGCAAAGCATTGCAGAAAGCTGCAGAATACACGAAAACAAGGAAGGGAATGGGTGGTGCTCAGTCCATGGGGGTCTCAGAGAAAGTGGGGCCTTTGTGTGGCTATAGCTCATGCTCCTTTTGTGTGTCTGTACCTCTCGCTTCAGGTTCTGTTAACGTTGGATGATGACCTGGATGTGGTTCGGAGAGACCAGATTCCTGTCTTCTGAGCCTCCCGTGTTAAAAGGAGAGCAGTCGTCATGGTGCTGTTTCGTAAAAAATACAGTGACTCAGTGATGAACCCAGACCTCACGCTCCACTCGCCTCTATGGTATCAACTCTGCATTCACAGGAAGGAGGGGAGCCCGGCAGAGCCCAGCCTTTGAGAAAGGCAGCAACGGGAGGCCTGGGCTGTGGATGGAGGCAAAGCCTGGTCCGCCAAGAACAGCAACCGTGCTTGCAACTGTGAAAGTTAGAAATGGACAAACATGCAACACAGTCAACTTTTTCCCGCCCTCACCTGACACCTGTCAACATGTGGCTCCTCTTCCCTCCACTTGTCCCCGCCACCCAAAAACTTCAGCATGGCCACCTTCGAACCCCTGCTACACCCTCTGCGCTAGATGTCCAAAGGCCATCTGGGTTCTCCGGGGCCCTGGGAGGACATGATTTCTCAGCGTAGGGTGCAGAGGTGGACCTGAGGCCCCACCCAGCAGGAACAAATGTCACTGCGGTCCCGGCCTGCAGCCTTCTCAGAAGGACTGCTGCCTGCTCCCCAGGTCCCGGACACTGTTAGAAGGGCTGAGGACCAGGTGTTTCCCACGGTCCTGTGAACAGGTAACCAGCACTGGGACCGAGGCCTGGGTGCTTGCCTTTTTCTTAGTATCTTCATCTCACCACTGTGTGTTAACCCCACATCTTTACCTCTGCATTCTGGAAAGGCCCTGTTATTCCACAGATCTGCTGAGCTCCAAGATGGGAGGGGAAATGGGGAAAATTCTCTGGGCAGCAAGAGATAGAAGAGAAATGACTGACAGCTCAAGGAGACTAGAAACACCAGCACCCAGCGGTCAGGCCTCACCTTCGGGACTGGGGTTCCTGGAACACATTCAGCAAAAGAGCAGCACTTACCTGTCCTCCAGTTCTTACAGCTCAGTTCGGTGCCCACATCACCTCTGGCAGAGAAGCAGGGCCCCCCTAACCAGGGGGTCACTCTGGGGTCCTCTACAAGTGAGCCCTTTACCGTCACTTATGGAGAGCAAGGTTCCAGGTTTTCTCCCTGAAGTTCTCAGGAGTACCTCAGGGCAAACACATTTTCCTCTCTGGTTGCAAAGAACGCAGGTAATGTAGTGCTGTATCCTCTGGCACCTGTCTCTCCTAACGCCAGTAAGGTGGTGAAAAGCTCAGCGCCCCAGTTGCAGTCTCATGCTGCGTGGCAGTTCTGTCTCCAAAGAGTCCCATTTTGACCAAGTTCCCTTGCTGCCTGGAGTATGACGTCATCAGCAAACAGACGTTCAAACATGTGCATGCGTACGTACTTGCCTGTGAAACTGAAGTCATTTCTCGCCTCTGCGGCCCTGATCACTCATTAGAGAAGTGAATCAGGCATTCTTTCTTTAAAAATTAGTTTTTCTCTCAACTATTTGTATCATGTTCAAAAACATACTTTGGAAGTTTGTCCAAACTGTTTGGTAAGCTTTTCCTGATTTTAAAAACACAAAGATGCTATCTATGAAATAGTCTGTGTGCTTTATCTAAAATGCCCCCCAAGTTTATAAATGAGTCTTCTGTTATTCTTTATTTCTGAAAAACTGTTGGCTTCCTTGCTGGGCATGATGGTGTACCACTATAATCCCAGCACTTTGATCTTCCTAATGCAGGACAATTTCTTTGAGTTCAATTTCAGCCTGGGCTACACAGTGAGTTCAAGGCCTATCTGGGGTACACAACAAAACCAAAATAATATAAAGTTAAAATTGTTGGCTTCCATAGCCCCCACGAAGGCCACCAATTAAGTGGTTGTGTTCATTTAACACCTAAAGGCACTTTCAAAACTGTTTGTCACTTACTTGATCTAATTCTTCTAAGGCACCCGTGGTTTTCAGTGTGAAAGGACCCACTAACCAGGCAGTGTGGAGCATGCCTTTAATCCTAGCAGGAAGATTGCCTGGGCTACATAGTGAGTTCAAGGCCTGCCTGAATTACAGAGCAAAACCCTATCTCAAAAATAAAAATAAAAGAACCCACTAAGGAAATGTGAACAACAAAGCCCATTCAAATATTGCTGTGGCCTGAGGTGAATACTTTTAAGATACATTACCGGTTCCAAATCTTGTTTGGGAACATCACCAGTGTGAAGGGGAGGATGCCTGTGGGACTATGGAGGCCCGCTAGAAGGGCCTTGACCTCACTGTATAGCCCAGGCAATCCTCCTGACTCAGCCTTCTGAGTGTTAGGATTAGAGGCATGCTCCACCATGCCAAGTTAGCGGGTCTTTTTAGATTAGAAACCACAAGTGCCTCGAGTAAGTGACAAACAGCTTTGAAAGTGCTGGGGCTGGGGGTTTAGCTCAGCGGCAAAAGCGCCTGCCTGGCAAGCGCAAGGTCGTGAGTTCGGTTCCCAGTACCGGAGAAAAACCAAAAAAAAAAAAAAAAAAAAAAAGAAAGTGCTGTGCCCCTGGTTGTGCTCTGACAGCGCCTGTCTTGTGGTATAAAGTCATGTGTTGTGGTCAGTTTTGTTCTGTGCAGCAGAATTAAAACCCAGACCAGCCTGCTTTTATAAATATCAATTCTGCGTGTACATGTTGTTACTTCTTTCCCCGGCCCTAATTTTGTGGTTGGAGGATTTAAGAAAGTCACTGAGCTATGTCTGTGGGGTTGGTAGGAGTGCCAGGGCAGCGGGGAACAACCAGAGTTTGTAGCAGATGATCTGTACGTGTGTAGGACAATGCCTTTGCTAACTGTGGCCTGTGCGCGTGGCCTTTGCTGTTTAAAAGAAAAAGCAAGGCTCCCTCTGAAGGCCAAGTTCAGTGAGAGGGTAACGGAGCAAAGTGGTGACTGTGGAGAGGCCCCTTGGCAGAGCAAGCCCGAGTAACAGAAGCAGTACAGCTGGAGCAGGTCAGAGACGCGGCTGCCAGAGGGACAGACGCACATGAAAAATGACCTCTCCATACCTCTGGCGAAGGGGGCTGAGAGGCAGCCCCACCTGTTTATGGGAATGGTTGAGGGATTAGTCCAGTTTTATTTTAGCAGCCAGAGAAGCCCGTGGAAAAGCAGAGTCTATCTGGGGAAGGCAGTTTCCATTACTGAAGGTGATCACTGAGCCAGCTCCTTGCGGGGGGGGAGTGGCAGCTGCTTCCTCTGTAACTCCAAGTACTGTGGATCTCAGTAGATCAACACCCAAATGCTTCTCCTTCTAGATGATAGTCTCTGTCTAAAACCTGGGGGAAAGGAAGAGACAAAGATATGCCTCCCACCCCAGCCCAAAAAGACATGCCTTCTTCACAGAAGGAGAAGACTTTAGTCCAGATGCATCCTAGTTGCTATGTGACCCAGGGTAAGTTGCTGAAACTCTCTGACCCTCAGCTAGCACACCTTCATGAGGACGACATGGTTGTGTAGCGTACCGGGAGCAGTGCCAGCACGGAGAAGACCCTCAGCTCCCACCTGGTAAACGCCCCAGGGAGAAGGCAAGAGCAGACCTTCACCCGCGCTGAGATCCCTCTCCATCTCCCCATCTCTCCACCCAAGTCCCTGTTGTTTCTGGTCGTTAGTTCCAGGGGGTCCTGAGGGGCTTGGGAGGCCGCCTCGCCTTCAGACGCTACCCCGAGTGGTCAGTCTGCGATCCCTAGCTGCTTTATTTCCTTTATGGCTACACTTCACAGCTCCAAGGAGTGTGCCCCACCTTGGTCCAGGGAAGGCCGTGACCAAGTGTTCCTCCACTCTAGCACCTTACCACTGAATGCTCTGGAGGTCCAGCCTGTGGAAAGGGGGAGCCTCAGACCTCAGAGGACAAAACAAGTCCCAGAAAGAAGCCTGGCGAGTGTCATTCAGATTTGAAATGATCCCCCGTGACCCCAGTGTCTCCCGGTGAAAGTGCTATGAATATAGATACTATTTACCCTGCCTGAAGTCATGGTAAGTTCTTGCTTATCACAGTTCGGCTATAGCATTTTTTAAACAATCTTTGGAGGAGCAACATATATTTACATGGCCAAGTTTTAATGTCTCCTCACTAGTAAGGCACCACTGTCAACAAAAGTAAGTGTCCACTAAATCTTAGGCCTCAACACACGAACTCAAATAAGTCAGGCAGTGGTGTTGGTTACAGAGATGGAGCATGGGGGATACCATCCCGCTGTGAGCTCTATAAAACCTGGATAGAGAAGGCAGTGCAACCAAGAATACAGGTCAGATCTCTGACGTGGTGGGCTGGAGTTTCTTTGTTTTCAGGTAGACTGAAAGCAAAGGGAGACCCTTGGGGTCCATTGAGCTGAGACTGCAGAGATAAGTACAACCACTACAGCAGGTAATAGTATCAGACTTGGACTAACGGGTAAACTGAGCGCCATTGGGCTCCTGGTGACAGGAGGAGAACAACTGTCTTTCTAGATAAAGGGGGGTCAAAAATAAGAGGTGCTTTGAACTGACAACCTTAGATATTTCATTTTAAAAAAACGAAAGCCCCTGTTTTAATCCCAGCAGAGAACTAGGATTGGAGAGTGGAACGGAGATTATTTTAATCCATCATCAAGAAAACAAAAACAGCTCCTTACCCATAGAAAGTGCAAACACTCTCCCTGCTAGAGGACAAGCATGAGACTGAAGTTCCCAGCCTACACTTTTAGTAGGTGCTTAACACTGGCAGCTGCTGCCCTCAATCTTGTCCCGAGGCTCAACAACATGAAAGTTGGCAGAACTGGTCACCTAAGCAGTGAGCACTCGACATCAGGCACTTCGCTAAGGGTTTCACGCACATTACCGTAACTAATCCTGAAAGCCCCCCGAAGGAGTCAGGGTTATTCTTATTTTCCCCACTTCCAGATGGAAAGACTGAAACTCACTGTCCGTGAGATGAGGTGCGTGGCGGAGAAACCTGGATTAGCAGTCGGAAATGAGTAGTTCAGGTAAAACCTGAACAGAGAAGAGAGAGACAGACTATGTGGCCGTGGAAATCCAACATTTATCCGTGCATTTTTATATGTGTGCAAAGCACACAGCCTAGGATCATGTAACTGTTCAACATGTTAACAAGAACAGAAGGTTTTTCCAAAACCCAGATGATTGTGAGTTATGTAAGCCCGAGCAACAGCGCAACCTACGGTGCCTGTGGAAAGCCAACCAATACAAAGCACGACTTTGGATCGTTTTCATTCCCTAAACTGGAACAGCTGGATTCATCGAGGACTGTTGTGTATGTTCCTAAGCTTGTTAAGAACCACTCATTTTTATGAATTCAATGATTTCACTTGGCAAAGGACTATAGTCTCAACAATTCATTTTAAATTAAAATATACATACCATAGAATGGCAGGTTACCGCTGGGAGCTTCTTGGTTCAAAAACAAAATTTTAAATGCAGAGAGAGTGAAGGAATGTAGTGGGTTTTCTTAGTTTCTGAAAAACACTTAGAGACTCAAAAAGTTATGAAGAGTAAAAACTTCTTCCAAAACTGCCCGACACTGGTCTATGCTGGCCCAAAAGGGTGAGGCACAGTCTGTACCTCCCATCAGCTGTTGAACCATCTTTCTTCTTGGTGGCCGGGCTCAAGCCTCTCCTCCCACAATATAGTTTCATGTCAGCCGTATTTAGGCAGAGGCACAAGCTGTATTCCACCTGGAAATCACGTTGGCATCCAAGGAGAACGGTGCTAACGTTTTTTTAAATTTGTCCAGAAATGAGGTGATAAAAAGCAACACAAATTGGTTCGGAATCAAATCATGCTAACCAACTTTCGTCTCCTGTTCTAAGATATCTGCTAGACTTTTTTTCTTTAAAGAATATGTAATGTAAATTTGCACATTCACCCCACAGCATCACTCAAAAACAAAAACAAAAAAAAGGATCTAACCTCAGTGAATCATGAATTCCCAGAAAGCTCCCTGGAGCTGTAAGCTCTCCACCATTACAGCTTGGCTGCAGCCACGTTCCAGACCACAGATCTGAATGTGATTAAGCAACACTCAAAACACCAACAACAACCGGACTGCACAGCGCAAACTTAGTTAAAAGCTGGACTTTCATGTCTTCCCCAAATTCTGTACCTGATCGGATTGTATGGAAGATTGAGTGGACACTGATGCTGATTAACCAACCAGCTGACTTCATGATTTATCTAGGAAGCAGATTAGCATCAGGTCCTCAGTTTCTCACAGGAAGAAGAAAGGACCAAAAGTAGGTCTCTGCACTGACCAGCTGAGTGTATCCTAGAGGAGGCCTCTATTTCTGATTAGTGTACGGGAGGTGAATGTGAGGAAGGTCAGAGAAAACTAATTGCCACTGTATGTGAAACAGCCCTTTGAAGTGTATGGAAACACACTGAAATATAAAAACATCATTTGTTCTTCACAATGGGCTGTAAGGTAGGCAGAACAGGTAGTAATAATAAATAGGTAGACCATCCAATAAACTAAGATACATAGAAGTTATGCCATTTTCTCAAAGTCACAGTCCCATAACAGGGGAGTCAGATACCAAACAGTACCATGACCTTTTTTTTCCCAAAGGATGGCAGGGCTGGGGCAAAGCTCCGGGCTTGATTCTCAGCAGCACCCCCCACTACACACACACACACACACACACACACACACACACACACACACAAGAATGATAGAAAAATATCTTTTATATTTTGCTAATTTAAAGGAAGTTTATCAGTAGAAACCCAGCATGGGGCAGAAAGAGCTGGCTGGTCCATGTGGTGCAGGGAAGGGTAGGGTCAGTTATGCGGTCCATGATCAGAAAGATGATCAGTACTGCAAAATCCCCTGGAGCCAGTGGCCCCTATAGTCAAG